ATTTTAGGTGCTATCTTTCAGTTGTTTCTGAAAAGAGCGTAAATGTTACTCTCAGAAGTCAGATCCTACTGGAGCAAAATGAAAGCTTGGCATGTCTGCATCATTTGGAAACTTACTGGCAAAATATTGAACTCTCTGCAAAGGAAAATATTGATCATGTGCAGATAAATTTAATTATATATGAATTATTCTATAAACATATATGAACTATGTACAGATAAATTATTTTCCATCTGAATTATGCTATAAATTTATACAAATAAGACTCTATGCTAAAAAATTGTAATTTGAAGAAGGGAAACAGTGGAAAGCAAATTTTTTTTTTTTTTGAAAAAACTAGTTCAAAACTGGTTAACCAGTTTTCTGAATCGATTAATCGGTTCGTTTCAAAACCGGTTTAAACATGAATTCGGTTCAAAATACTAGTTAACCGAAACCGAAACCAGTTAACCGATGTTCCATACCCCTAGCTGGTTGATTTTCCACACATCTAGCTGGTTATATGTGCAACTAATGCACCCTGAAAACTGTATGCTAATTGACTTAAGTTAATTAAAGCCAATTGTAAATCATACAAAACACCCAATTCTCGTCCACATTGTTATACATGGGACATGTTTTATACACACTACTAAATATTAACATCCAGTCATTTGTGATTGTCCGACTTCCAATACATTTTATTTTGTTTTCATCAAGTATAGACAAAAGATAAAATCAAATGACCGGATAAAACACAAAAAATATTGTTACAAATTTTGTATTCTCCTTATGATCACAAAACTTAAAGGAAATTTTCTTAGTCATTAGAAACTTCAAATTCATCACATCGACGAAGCATTTTTCACAAAAGAAACCTAATTCAATCAATTGATACACCCAAAAAAAAATTGACATTTCGTTTAGGGTTTATTGTTCTAGGGGTGTAAATGTCACTTTTCAAAAACCTTCTAATACAAAGTATCATATTTTTTAATAATGTTTCACATACAATTGAGTCATACAGCCAAATAAAAATTACACAAAATTTATGTAAAATGACTACTTTGTTGTTTTTTGCCTAATTGTATGACTCAATTATAGAGATGAGAATTTGACTCGAGCCCAAAACTCGGTACTAGGACTAATCCCTAGGATCGAACCAGGCCCAAGGGAGGAGGGACTGGCTTGGCCTAGGCTAGTTAATTTTTAAAACCCTCCAAATTCCACAAACCCCCTAGAAAATATAAAAAATACATAATAAATTTAGGGGTTTAAAAGTAATTTTACAAAAAAATTAAAAAAAAAAAATTTCCAAGCCCATATACAACTGGTCCGCCCTAGGAAAACTCATGGGCCTAGGTCTGGTTCTTTAAAATTTGGGTTCGATCCTTGAGGACTCAGGTTTGGAATAAACTAACCTAAGCCTGACCCACCTTTACTCAATTGTAAGCATAATATTCCTCCACAGTTATTAAACCTATCACAACAGCAATACGTATTTTATAAAACACAAACTCTCAATCAACGGGCAATCTCAAAACCACTATAAGACCTTATAAACTTGAGAAAATCCATCAACAAACAATCTAACTTCATTTACTTCCATAAATCATACACAACATAATCTACTCATAGGGTTTATAGTTACATCATATGAAGTTAGTTGTAGACTTGTAGTTGATTCTAATACTCCACTTCATTTTCTAGGGAACAACAAACAGTAATCTCAAATTCTTGCATTTTCTCGGGAACCAAACAAAGCCAAGGAAAAAAAATGGAAGTGTACGGAAACAAAAGGACACCTGAATGCTAGAGCAGGCGATCTCGATAAATTGCATGATGGACTGTCGCTTCGCCAAGTCGGCGGGGCCACCTTCTCCTCCTCCTCCGCCATTTGAATATCCTTGCATCTTTATTATTAAACTACTTTCTCTTTCCAGGGTCGGCTTAAGGGGTAGGCAGGTGAGGCACCTGCCTAGGGCCCCCAAAAAATGGGGGCCCAAATTTTTATCAATTTTTTTTTTTTTTTTTGAATATCTTACAAAAATGAAAATGGTTTATAATTTCTTATCTAAGCCAAGGGGCCCCCCAAAAAAGCCATAAAAGCTCAAATTTATTATAAACTTTTTACATATATTCTCACCTAAAGTTTAACAAAATAGTAAGTTTGTACCTCTAGTTTTATATATTCTAGTTTATACCCATAAACTAACACATTGAATCTCTTTTAACAATGGAAGACTAAAATAGTCATTTACATATCTCAAATTACTCATCCCCAATTCAATCCCAAAATTTGACATTCACATAAATCATCTCCAGCACTCTTCTGCCACTAGTGGTTTGGAGTTGATTTCGGTCAATTTTGGTTCCGATCGATTTTCTCACTAAAATCGACCGAAATCATCATTTTATCATTTCCCAACCTTGATAGCCCTCGATTTGACTAATTTTTGATGAATCTTGCAACCTAACTCCACCACACAACAGCCATTTCCAGCATTTTTGGCATGTACCTGACATTGTTAGCCTTCCCCGACACCACCATCTTCCTCCCCTCAGCCCTCAGCCCTCTCACCAAAACCCCTATCATACCTTATCCGTTTACTCTGCCAATCGTCGGCCATCGATACCTTTTGGGCCGTGACTTCTCAAGCCTTTTCTTATCAATCTTGGCATTGGAAATCTCCCATTTCACCACCCATCACTTCTCCAATATCTACTCTCCAAAACCTCCCACCAACCTAACCTTGTTAGCTTGTCGATTGCTGTTCACTTCTCCTAGTGATTTTTCATCTCAAAAGGCAAAAAATAAATAAATAAATTATTATTATTATTATTATTATTATTTTTAATATATGCTTATATTATTAGAGGGTCCCAAAGTAACCCCTGCCTAGGGTCACAAATATTCTAGAGATAGCCCTGTCTCTTTCACTTCTACTTAGCATAAAACAAATAGAGATTAATTAATTAATAGGTAATAAATTAGGATTTAATTGTATTAGATTCATCAAAGAGTTTCAGTGAGAGGGCAATGAATCGCAGAAATCACTACATAAACAGATTGATTGAGACTTTGCTGGCCGGGTAAGTCGTTTATTTACATTTTACAGCTGAAAGTAAAAATGTTTTGGTTGGTTAAATTTTTATTTTTTTTCAAATAACTTAATGCAAAAATGAAGGACTAATTGAATATTTTTTACTGTTAGGTATCAAAAGGAAATTTCATTTGAAAATAGTACCTAGTTCAAAGTTTAAATTACCGGGAACCCTAGGTTTTAACGTCACTTATTTAACAACACAAGAAATTGAACAAGAGCACAAAGTTCCATTCAAAACCGCTAAACAGGACTTTCTAGTTTCTTCTATACTTTGACGGTTTGACCTGGTAATTCAATTCAGTTCAAGACTTTTTCTCAATGTTTCACCTAAATTATAATCATTAGGGTTCAGGGTTTTAGCGTGTCCTTTTGTCTATACAATTCTCTGTTCCTTAATTACTCCCAGCAGTGATTTAAACATTGTATGTTATCTACTGAATCAGTTTTCTTTGGAAATAGGGTTCTAGGATTTGATGTTGCAGAAAATTGCTTTGTCTATGTACGTATGCTGGATTTTATTCGGGTTGAATATGAAATAGATAAGGTTCTGTTGCAATTGCTATAAATTTGTTGTATTATGAGAGTAGAGTAATTATAAAATAATAATAATGACGTTATTTTCCTGCATACTGAAGATTGAATGTTTCAGAATTTTAATTGTTTGAGTAGTTTGCATATTTTGAAGGGTGCTATCTTTCAGTTGTTTCTGAAAGAGCGTAAATGTTACTCTCAGAAGTCAGATCCTACTGGAGCAAAAGGAAGCTTGGCATGTCTGCATCATTTGGAAACTTACTGGCAAAATATTGAACTCTCTGCAAAGGAAAATATTGATCATGTGCAGATAAATTTAATTATATATGAATTATTCTATAACATATATGAACTATGTACAGATAAATTATTTTCCATCTGAATTATGCTATAACTTATACAAAATAAGCTCTATGCTAAAAATTGTAATTTGAAGAAGGGAAACAGTGGAAAGCAAATTTTTTTTTTTTTTGAAAAAACTAGTCCAAAACTGGTTACCAGTTTTCTGAATCGATTAATCGGTTTCGTTTCAAAACCGGTTAAAACATGTTCGGTTCAAAATACTAGTTAACCGAAACCGAAACAGTTAACCTGTCATACCCTACTGGTTGATTTTCCACACATCTAGCTGGTTATATGTGCAACATGCACCCTGAAAACTGTATGCTAATTGACTAAGTAATTAAAGCCAATTGTAAATCATACAAAACACCCAATTCTCGTCACATGTTATACATGGGACATGTTTTATACACACTACTAATATTAACATCCAGTCATTTGTGATTGTCGACTTCCAATACATTTTATTTGTTTTCATCAAGTATAGACAAAAGATAAATCAAATGACGATAAACACAAAAATATTGTTACAAATTTTGTATTCTCCTTATGATCACAAAACTTAAAGAAATTTTCTTAGTCATTAAAACTTCAAATTCATCACATGACGAAGCATTTTTCACAAAAGAAACCTAATTCAATCAATTGATACACCCAAAAATTGACATTTCGTTTAGGGTTTATTGTTCTAGGGTGTAAATGTCACTTTTCAAAAACCTTCTAATACAAGTATCATATTTTTTTAATGTTTCACATAAATTGAGTCATACACCAAATAAAATTACCAAAATTTAGTAAAATGACTACTTTGTTTGTTTTGCCTATTGTATGACTCAATTATAGAGATGAGAATTTGACTCGAGCCCAAACTCGGTACTAACTAATCCCTAGGATCGAAACCAGGCCCAAGGGAGGAGGGACTGGCTTGGCCTACTGTTAATTTTTAAAACCCTCCAAATTCACAAACCCCCTGAAAATATAAAATACATAATAATTTAGGGTTTAAAAGTAATTTTACAAAATTAAAAAAAAAAAAAAATTTCCGGGTTTTGGAAAGAGCAGCTGAGAAAGGGATGTCCTCCGTATTTGATTACCTACACTGTTCTCATCGAGTTAGTCTGCAGGCACTGTGGAGCAGTACGTGCTATGGAAGTATTGGAAGATATGACTACTGAGGGCTGTTACCCTGATATTGTTACCTACAATTCGCTTGTTAATTTCACTTGTAGACAAGGGAAATATGAGGATATAGCTGTGGTCATTTACAATGTATTTTCTCATGGATTGGAGCCCAATGCTGTAACTTACAACACACTCCTCCATTCTCTCGGTAGACGTGGGTGTTGGGATGAAGTAGATAAGATTCTTGCAATCATGAATGAAACCTCTCATCATCAGACAGTGATCACTTATAACATTTTGATCAATGGTTTGTGTAAATATGGGCTTCTGGATCGTGCCATCAACTTTTATAATCAAATGGTTTCCAAGAATTGTTTGCCTGATATTATAACTTATAATACTCTCCTAGGTGCTCTTTGTAAAGAGGGAATGGTAGATGAAGCTCTTCAATTACTTCACTTGTTGAACGGCAGTTATTGTTCTCCTGGTTTGATCACCTATTATACCGTGATTAATGGGTTGGCTAAAAAGGGTTCTATGGAGAAAGCAATGGGATTATATGGTCAAATGATGGAGAATGGGATCATTCCTGACGATATTACTCATTATTCTTTGATTTGGGGGTTTTGCCAGGCAGATCTAGTTGAGGAAGCAGTAGAGATACTGAGGGAGATGGGTAAAAGAGGCCATAGGGTCAGAAATAGTGCTTACAAGATGATCATCCATGGATTATGTAGAAGTAAGAAGCTGGATATGGCAATACAAGTTCTAGAATTAATGATCTCAGGTCGATCCAAGCCAGATGTAGCAACTTATTCCTCTATACTGAAAAGTGTAGCCGAAGGTGGAATGGCAGAAGAGGCTAACAAGTTGTGTCGAAAGTTGATAGAATGGAAGGTTCTTAAAGAAGGTACCACATTGGATTGAAGAAGTGTTTAAGCAAACTTCAATCTTGTTAGATGCTTTCTGTAATGTTGACATTAGTGTTTTGCTGAAAGGTTTACAAAATATACGTTCTGAAAATGTGTTTTCCCCCATCTTTATTCAATTTTTGCCTATTCACCCATTTGCAATTGCAATTGTTCCATCTGCAGAAGCAGCCACTCCCACAAAATCCATAATTAAGTCATTCTTTTGATCAGGAATATGATGTTAGCTGCTTTTCTACCACGTCGAGATAGACATTCCATTTAAATGACTCGAACATTTTCGATCGGGTGTTTTAACTGAATGTTGTATACTTTCATTTTGAGCTAAATTTTATAATGGCAAGGGAATATTTTTGGGCTCATTGACATGTTATTACGCAGAAAAAAATTTACAAAGAAATAATTTTTGACAAATTATTTCCCTCAGGACAGGGGGATAACGAAGGTGGTGGTAGAGAAGTGTTGTTGGAAATAAAAGAAATAGATAGATAAACAGATGCATGGACAATGAGATCAATATTAGAAAGAAGCCATACAAACCAGTAAGAATAGTATGTGAAAGTTTTTGTGTTGCACGTTCTCATTTGCTTGGCTGGTTACAGGGATGTTTAAAAAATCCCGGAAACCGGACCAAAACGGAACAGGAAATTCGGTTTGGGAAAATGCTTGAACTGGTTTTTCGATTCGGTTATCGGTTCAAGGGATTTTCCAAACCGGTTAACCAAAAGTGGTTTCAAAATAAAACCCTAAGTATATACCTAATTCTTACTGCTAACTTACTAACTTAGACTTGTCTGAATTGATTCCATTTAGTTTACACCTTTAACCTTTCTTTGTCATCGGCGAATGGTGATAACCACGATCCGCAACAACCATGAGTCCATGAATGGGGACGGCGAACAACACTTCAGTGCTTATGGCGAACGATGCTTCAGTGAACGGCACTTCAGTTCTTCAGTCCTCAGCTGCTCCATGACCACTAGTCCACTGCCGATTCAACAATGTAAGACAGATCCTTCTATTTATTTTATTTTGTCTTTACAATCTGTTGCATTGATTTCGTTTCATTGTAAGGCTGAAGAGGAACAAGCTCTTTATTGTTTAATAAATTTCAGGACTTTCTTATGATGGTTATTTTGTCTTCTAAATCTGCTGCGTAGAGATTCATATGTTAATCTGGGTTGGTTGATGGTTCAGTCGGCACTCCAATGCCTTCAGCTTCTTGTGCTTTTGTTGGCTTACATTTTAATTGCAATATATGAGGTATATATTTTCTTTGAATTGGTTTGTTTTTGTAGTTTGAAAGAAAATTTTCAAGGAATTGGAAGTTGATTTAAAAGTTGTCCGGTATGGTGGCTTAATTGAGAGTTTTTGTTTGGCCTGCTGGCCTAATTGGTTTGTTTTGTATGCAAATTTCAAATTTCAATTACTTTTCTATGTTGTTTGGAAACTGTATACTCTGATTTATTTGGAAACTGTCTGCTGGCTTAATTGGTTTGTTTTGTATGCAATTTGTTAACTATATCAAATAGTATGCTGATTTGCAAACTGTATGCTCTGATTTTCATTGGTTTTGTATGCTCATCATTAGGCTTAATTGCAAACTTTATGCTGATTTAATTTTTCCACTGTATGATGATTTAATTGGCTATTCCATGACTGAGCTGAATCTGTGATGCTTTGTTTCCTCTATGAGCTGAATCTGTCTGGATCTTTCTGAAATTCAAAGTTAACTTGTGTGTTATCTTTCAGTTGTATCCGAAAAGAGTGTAAATATTACTCTCAGAAGTCAGATCCTACTGGAGCAAAATGAAGGCTTGGCATGTCTGCATCATTTGGAAACTTAATGGCAAAATGTTGGAACTCTGCAAAGGAAAAAATGGAAACATTTTTAAATCTACAGTTGCTTTTTTTTTTTTTCTTCTAAACTTGCTTTGCTGTTGTTATGTTTTGCCGCTAGAGAAACTTTTTTGTTTGCTTTTTACCAAATTTTCCTTTAGGCTCTCAGGCAAAACCGGTTAACTGGTTTTCCGGTTTAGTTTGTGGTTCAAAACCAGTTTAAGCATGACTTTGGTTTGGTTTCAGTTCGGAATTCTGCTTGAGCTGGTTTTTCGGTTTAGCTCGAAAAACTAATTAACTGAAACCAGTTAACCAGTTGTCCACACCCCTAGCTGGTTATATGTGCAACGAATGCACCCTGAAAACTGTATGCTAATTGACTCAAGTTAATTAAAGCCAATTGTAAATCATACAAAAAACCCAATTCTCGTCTAGATTGTAATATGTAGGACATGTTTTAGACACAATTCTAAATATTAACATCCAGTCATTTGTGATTGACTGACTTCCAATCACTGTTTTAAAACACGGACTGGAGAGCAACCCAGTGAACTGATCGAGTCTTGAGTCAACTGGTCCAATCGATTGGACTGGCCTGTTAAACCGGTGACATTAGTATATTGACATCAATAGTACAACTTAATTGATAAACCTAAAAATTTTAAAACTTCAACAACACCGTTCAATAACAATCCCAATATCATGTCGTTTTCATCTAATTACAATTTAAATAACAAAATTAAAAAAGATAAGTCACCTAATAATTAATGACAAAACCTTTCGCAATATAATCCTGAATAAGCAACATTTGCAAAATCAAGTTTAACTTTTTGAAAAATTTAATATTTATAAAACAAGAATTTAATTAATGAAATCATTTGATAAGTTAATTCTCAACAAAATTTGTCAATCAAATCTTCAAGTGAAATGTTACCTTCTCTCAAAGAAGTTTTTCTATGTGGACCCAATTAGAGATGAGACCGAACCATTAACCTAACGCAAGAATGTAAGACGACACAAAATGATTAAATGAAGGACTAAAATCAACATTTTTCAGTTTTAGGTATAAAATGGAAAGTCTTGTTTGAAAATAGTATCTAGTCAAAATTCTAAGTTGCCGGGAACCCTAGGTTTTAACGTCACTCATTTAAAAACACAAGCAACTGAACAAGTAGAACACAAGCAGTTCCATTCAATACCGCTAAACAGGACTTTCTTCTATACTTCGACCAGGTAATTCAATTCAGTTCAAGACCTTTTCTCAATGTTTCACCTTAATTATAATCATTAGGGTTTCTTTTGTCTATACAATTCTCTGTTCCTTAATTACTCCTAGCTGTGATTTAAACACTTGTATGTTATCGGCGAATCAGTTTTCTTTGGAAGGGTTCTAGGATTTGATGTTGCAGAAAAAATGCTTATCTATGTACGTATGCTGGATCTTATCCGGGTTGAATATGAAATAGATGAGGTTCTGTCGGTTACCAAAAAAATAGATAAGGTTCTGTTGCAATTGCTATAAATTTGTAAATTATGAGAGTAGAGTAATTATAAAATATAATAATGTTATTTTCCTGCATACTGAGAGTTGAATGTTCAGAATTTTAATTTTTTTGAGTAGTTGCATATTTTGAAAAACTTGGAGATGAAGGGTTGCTGTCTTTTAGACGGCTTCTTATGATTCATTTGTATTGTATTTGTGTTATTTAAACTGGTTTCATGTTTGCTAGTTTAGGACCTGTTATATCTGTAGGATTAAATGGAACATATTTGTAGGAAATTGGTGACACATGTTCTGGGAGTGGGTTTTGGGATTTTTGGGATTTCTGGAATTGAACTTCGACTCCAGAGATCTTTTGTTTGCTGTCTGTTGCTCTAATTGTTGTATTACTTTTATTCAAATTTGAACTTTGAAGTGGGCATCCGATTGTAATTTTCTGAAATGGAAATTTGAAATTGTTTGATGTCAAGAACTTAATGATAACATCTGCAGCTTGAAGTGGGAACTGGGCATCCAATTGAATTTCTACTTAATAAGATTTTGCTTGATTACCATCCACTGCAGTTGTTATATAGTTAGTTTGGCTAAATGTTTCTGGTCCATGTTGTCTTTTTTATTATTTTTTTATTTTTTAATTATTGTTCAGAATAACTCTTAGGGAATTTTTTGGTTAATGTTGTTGACCTGAACTTTGACAGGTAGAGTGCTCAACTCATTTGGAGGGAAGAGCAGCTGAACAATGTTGGTCTTTCAAGATAGGCGGAACTAGGAAATAAGAACGTAAACATCCCTTTATTTTTATGAGAAAATTTGGTATATTTTGGTTACTAACATGTTAAGTACCTTAGTAATTTGTTAGAATTCATTGTCAAGTGGGCATTGGAGATGGACTATGCAGTTGTTCCCTGAATTCTAGAGCTGAGGTTCATTGTTTGCATAGTTTGAAACAAGTTGACCTGAATGTGGAATTGGTCGCTTTTCAACCATGAATGCATCTTCTATTCACTTAAATTGTTCAATTAAGTGTGACCACAAAAGTCGTTCTGTGTTTCTATGGAGAGGAGATCTTGTCGCAGGAAGAAACATGTGCTCTTTTAAGTGCGAGGACTGCCGGAAGTGTTACATTGACAAGTTAATGAAGTTGACCGAGATGAATGGAGCTCAGAAAGTGATGTATTGGGTGCTAATAAAAAAATCCAAAGGGAGATGATTACAAGAAAGCCTCAAAATTCTTCATTGCATCTTTAGATGGGCCCTTTGTTGAAATTGATGAAGAACAACAATAAAATCCTTCACATCTATGCATCAGCGGGAAGTTAACTGAGGCAACAAGGTGTTGTTTATAATGGCACGTCGTAATCAAATTCCTGACTTTCCTTCTGCATAAATTTAAACGTGGCCTTGTTAAAGTTGATGGATAGATAAAGCTTCCAATGTCCTTGAAACTCAGGTCATGTCTGGCGGGATTCCAGATACTATACATACAAAAGATGATGGTGCCTCTGTAGGAGAGGACATATAAAATCTGCCATTAGTCTCTTGGACGAAATGAGTTGAGTGGTTGTGCACCGGATGTGATTAGTTATAACACAATACTTCGCAGCATGTTTGATAATGGCAATTTGAGCAGGCTATTGGGTTTGGAAAGAGCAGCTGAGAAAGGGATGTCCTCCGTATGGATTACCTACACTGTTCTCATCGAGTTAGTCTGCAAGCAGTGGAACAGTACGTGCTATGGAAGTATTGGAAGATATGACTACTGTGGGCTGTTACCCTAATATTGTTACCTACAATTTGCTTGTTAATTTCACTTGTAGACAGGGAAATTGAGGATATAGCTGTGGTCATTTGCAATGTATTTTCTCATGGATTGGAGCCCAATGCTGTAACTTACAACACACTCTCCATTCTCTCGGTAGTCGTGGGTGTTGGGATGAAGTAGATAAGATTCTTGCAATCATGAATGAAACTTCTCATCATCCGACAGTGATCACTTATAACATTTGATCAAGGTTTGTGTAAATATGGGCTTCTGGATCGTGCCATCACTTTTATCTAAATGGTTTCCAAGAATTGTTTGCCTGATATGTAACTTATAATAATCTCCTAGGTGCTCTTTGTAAAGAGGGAATGGTAGATGAAGCTCTCATTACTTCACTTGTTGAACGGCAGCTTTGTCTCCTTGTTTGATCACATAATACTGTGATGATGGATTGGCTAGAAGGGTTCTATGGAGAAAGCAGGGATTATATGGTCAAATGATGAAGAATGGGATCATTCCTGACGATATTACTCAGTTCTTTGATTGGGGGTTTTGCCGGGCAGATCTAGTTGAGGAAGCAGTAGAGATACTGAGGGAGATGGGTAAAAGAGGCCATATGATCACAATTGTGTTTACAAGATGATCATCCATGGATTATGTAGAAGTAAGAAGCTGGATATGGCAATACAAGTTCTAGAATTAATGATCTCACGTCAATCAAGCCAGACGAAGCAACTTATTCCACTATACTCAAAAGTGTAGCCGAAGGTGGAATGGCAGAGGAGGCTAAGAAGTTGTGTCGAAAGTTGATAGAACGGAAGGTTCTTAAAGAAGGTACCACATTGGATTGAAGAAGTGTTTAAGCAAACTTCAATCTTAATAGATGCTTTCTGGAATCTTGACATCAGTGTTTTGCTGAAAGGTTTAGAAAATATAGGTTCTGAAAATGTGTTTTCCCCCATCTTTATTCAATTGTTGCCTATTCACCGTTTGCAATTGCAATTGTTCCATCTGCAGAAGCAGCCACTCCACCAAATCCATAATTAAGTCATTCTTTTGATCAGGAGTATGATGTTAACTGCTTTTCCACAGTCGAGATACACATCCATTTAAATGACTTTTACATTTTCAGGGTATTTTAACTCAATGTTGTATATGTATTCTGAGCTAAATTTTCTAATGGCAAGGGATATTTTCGGACTCATTGCTATTATTAAGCAGAAATTTTTTACAAAGAAATAATTTTTGACAAATTATTTCCTCAGGACAGGGGGATAACGAAGGTGATGGTAGAGAAGTGTTATGGGAGAAAAGAAACAGATAGATAAACAGATGCATGGACAATGGGATCAATATTGAAAAGAAGCCATAAAAACCAGTAGAATAATATGTGAAAGTTTTTGTATTGCACATTCTCATTGGCTTGGCTGGTTACAGGAGTGTGAAAAAAAGCTCGGAAACTTGACCGAACCGAATGGAAATTTGGTTGATCAAAACTGGTTCAGTTTTGGTTGGGAAAATGCTGAATCAGAAAAAAAAACTGGTCAATTTTGGTTGGGAAAATTGAACCGATTTTCCGATTCAGGTATCGGTTCAGGGGATTTTCCAAACCACTTAACCAAAACGGTTTCAAAAAACCCTAAGTATAAATAATTCTTACTTCTAACTTACTAACTTAGACTTGTCGAATCGACTCCATTTGTTTACACCCTAACCTGTCTTTCTCATCGGCGAATGGCGATAACCACGCCCCCGACAACCACGAGTCCACAAACGGCGAAAAACGCTGCAATGCTTACAGTGAACGCGTTCAGCGAACGGCGCTT